TGCGGACCCAAAGAGGGCAAGGGACGTATCGATCATGTTTTCATGCTGCAGTAGTTCCTGGGAAAAAAAGTGATTCAGTATAGTCTGCGTCGAGAATAACAATTTAAAAATATATAAACATAATGTATAAAGTAAGGAGGGATATAGCTTACATTAAAGATAAACTTTAAGATAATTAATAGTTGAAATTCACTTAGTACGTTTATAAATAATTTATCGTTGATAAATATTCGCCAAATAGCTTTAGCGAATTTCGCTTCCACGTTAAACTGATAAGACCGCATTTTATCAAATTATTAACATCCTTCAAAAATTTCGTGAATGATTCCATCGTACGACCTTTAAGTTGAAACTACTTTTAATATTAATTATAGTGATATTTCTAGTATGACAATTTATACATTTATTCATAGTTTTATATTTCAACACTGCAATCACCAACTCTGGAATTTACTTACTCACTGCCTGTATAGATATAACTTTTCCAACTAGAAATATCACTAAAATGACATTACTAAAAAATGTTGAAATTGGAGTTATTCATTCTGACAACTGAAAGGCACACATAGATCAGTGTCTGAAGTTGTGTGGTTTATAAAAGCAGATGGAGTAACTAGATTTTTATTGTCTACCGTAGATATAATAAATAAAGTTTTAATAATTTTAATAGCATTAACGATTTGTTAGCTGTAAGCTCTAGCTCCGTTTGAAATGCAATTCAAAAATTTTATAATAGCCCAACATTGCCAGAAAATATTTTCAATTCAAAGTAGAGCAGTAAGTGAAAGTTGGGTGTTGCGAACACCAGGTCATTTTGGGTGAAAAAAATAACCATCATTGATTCATATTATTTTTTTACACAACTTGAGGTGAATTTAATTTTTTTTTAAAATAAACCTTAACTTAATTAATATGTAATTAATTAAAGCTTAGTAAACGAGTAAGCCTTTTGTCAAATTTCTTCTTTTGTTTTATTTTTCTTTGACAATTTGACAGCTGATACTTTGGGGTTAGTAAAAATGAAGCGTTTCACTAGCGAACAACGTGTTTTGTTGTATAATATTTTAAAAATAATGAAAGTCTTGCGTCAACTACTTGTCTTGCTTCGATATTGACACTTGAACGCATTGTTTTTGAACGACCAGTGTGCTTAACATCACTAATTGATCCAGACTGCTTGAATTTCTCAATCACTTTCTTCAAAGTTAATAAAGTTAAATCATTATTTCGACCATATTTCGTCCGAAATTTTCGAACTGTGGCCGCTAGACATTGATGTTTTTTAAAATATTATTCAAAAAATGAAAAGACGTTGTTCGCTCTTATAACACTCCATCTTTACTAACCTTAAACTATCAGCTTTTAAATTGACAAAGAAAAATAAATCAAAAGAAGAAAGAACTGTGTTTTATATTTAATTTAAATCTTATATTAATTTTGGGACACACTTTATTTCGAGTACATCCATTTTTAAAAATTCCCTTCCTACTTTAACTTACATTTAGTAGTAAGGATAAAAATAAATGAACAACTGATACGGCGTTACACTTGACGATCGGAGAAAGCTGACGATAACGGACTGTATGCTAATCAGGTACCGGTACCTTCTCCCCACCTAGGTCAGGGCCAGAGCCTCAGGGTATCTAACCCACATATCGGTCACGTTCTAAGTAACTTATAAAAGTAACAGTTCATAACTGTTACTTAAGTAATATAGGATGACCCGTTCGCATATTAAAAGATTAAATTTAAAATGATGGAAAAATTGCGGATTGCAAGACTAGATAGATAGATAGTTTATTTTATTTGTCTAAGGAAATTCCTGTACAAATAAATACAATGGTATAATTAACAATGTTAGATCTTGAGTCTAGTACTGCATTCAAACATAACATTAACAATCTCTACAGCGTTAAGTATGACTAATATAATAACAGATTAGTAAACTATACATACATATATATATATATATACAGATAACAATTAGTAAAACATTTTTTTTTTTTTAATATTCGAGAGGAATTAAGACAAATGACAATATAAATAAGCATTAATATATGTTATATGATTAACTTAACAGTTCAATGAACAGCCCTGTATGAAATAATACAGTTGGTTTATTTTTTTCGTAGTGTCTATTTTCAGTATCTCCTCCACACCAGCATCTTCTCTGGATTCAGTGATGTCTTCAAGTACTTATATTGCAAGACTAAAAGATTACAATAAATTATTTTTTTATAGGTTAAACTTGTGAATTATAAATAGATTATTTAACTTGATTATAAAACTTAAAGCTTTCCTTCTCTTCGTTATTCGAACTGGATTAAAACATAAAATAATTCATTTTGCTAACTAAATAATTCTGTTAACAGATGTTTTCATAATAGAACAATAACAACATTGATTAAAATGTAGCTGATACTTTTCTATAACAGGTTACTTTTTTCCTATTTAAAAACTAACTGGCGGGGCTAATATAAAATGACCCAAATCGCACAAGATAACAAAAATATATGTATTATGAGTTAATCATAAATACCTTTAAAACAAAAAATCATTGCCTAAAATCTGTCTATGGGCTGACTAACCTACCACTCAATAAATCATACAACTATCCATTTAATTGCACTACTCGTTGTTCAAATTGTATAACTGAGATTGACATGTATTCTGTAGTTCAGATTGTATTATTTTTTAATGAGTATTAAATTCTGAAAATTAATAATATATTTAAGGAAGATTAAGTGTTTCCAAGGCAACTAAATAAAAAAATAGCACAAGATATGTCTTTATGAAACTACCGATTCAAATATGGTTTACGGAACTTTAAAAATAACATAAACAACAATGGTATGTTGAACTTTCAATAAAATAACTATAAATCAAGTACCATGAAACAAATTGTAGTTAGAACCTTCTCAAACTAATTATTTTCAAAAGTTTCACTGCTAGTTTCATTATTTTTCAACTGATGGTACTGAAATTCATTTAGAACGTAGTCAACTTTGTTGTGAGTGATTTCTGAGTAAAATCTCGATTTGTCCAATATTGTTAGTTGTCAAACTTAGGCCATGTCTGTCTTCGTTTCCACTGTAAAAATATTAGTCAGCGGTAAATACTCCTTTTTATCAAATTCGATGACTTCATTTCTTCATAACCTACAACTCCACTTTAGTTGTTAGGTTATTTGATCACAAAATCGAGAATAAAGGTGGCCTAAAAAATGTGTTGTATCTATCGATTTATCTTGATATGATAATAATATCATCCTCGATTTTAACACATGATATCAGTAATTCAACATTGCATTCATAACACAGGCGGATGTACGGGGAGGGGAGGGAGAGAAAAGAGGGGTTTTCGGGCTGAAGCCCCCCGCCAAAAAATGGTAAAATATAACTCTGTTTTATGAAAAAAATTATCTTTAAAAGTATTATTATTTGTCTAATTACATTTAATAGGACTTAAAGAACCACTTAAACACCATTTCATATAGGTAGTTTCTTTCTTCAGAAGTAATTATCCTAATATATACACCAAAAAAAATTTTCCACCATATACACCAAACTTTCAGGTTGAAGCCTCCTCCCCAAAATTAAATCTGGATCCGTCAGTGATTCATTATAATTTATCACATACAATTGTTGTTAAAACTGTATTAAATAGAAATATTACAAAAGAAGAATAGTACATTTCAATTACAATCTCTATATTTACTGTATTCCACACAACAAAATGGTTGGGCGGTTGGCGTTACCTCCACCCTAACATGTCAAAATAACGAGGTTATATAGGCCAAACGGCGTAGTATTTTTGTAGGCCAACTTATTTTTTCCTCCCAATTTTGTGGTCAAATTATCTTAAGATTCAAGAAAAAAGCAACTGGGTATTGATGAGTTTTTAGCACTTAATTAAATTAATTAATTCAATACGATAACATCCCATTTTTGATAATTTTCATAGATAATAATTTATGATAAGATGAAGCCAACCACGAAGTTTCAAGCAGACATTACAGGGGTGCCCATCCCATCCTCTCCCAAGGTCGATGGAGCATGAACTCCTCTTTCAAGATATTTTATTGCTCTCCTCTTCTTAATAACAGTGCAATTTAGACTAGAGGAAGCTAAAGTATAATCTTAAAAATCATAGGTCATATAAATTATATCTTCAGTGGGCTGTTTAATGATTTCCTCTTGTCCCCTGGTTTGAAACTTTTCATTTCAAAAATTCATAACTTCGTCAAAACGGGCTCCCTTCAAAAATTTTAATGGCGCAACATACGCCATGAAACCCCCCTTTCGTGGATGTTGATAATTTCACAAAAATGGGTCTGTATCGTGGACTATATCTAAATAAAGAGACTTCGCCCTTGGAAACAGAAGGTCACTTAGATTCGCAAAACCGGCCCAACGTGTTTTCTGAATCGCATTTATATCAAAACTTAAGTAGGAGCAGTTGAGTTTTCAGTTCCGTGAATGTTCCAGGTCTATAAAGTGATGTTACATTCCATGTTCCAATCTTATAAGCCATAAGAGTTCCAGGTCGTTTGCATAAATCCGAAAGACGAGGTCTGACTGTTGAGAATAAGTAACATATACTTCTTTTAATAAAGGGTGGGTAGTGAGTCCCGCTTCAACCATTTTCTTTAGTCCAAGCTTGAGAACGGTTCTGGTTTCCACGAAGCGAATCCCACAAGCAGATTTAAGTAGTCAAGTTAAATAATCGATTTATAATTAGCAAGTCGAACCTATTGCAAAAAAAATAGTATTGTAATCGTTCAATCTTGTTATTTATCTTCAAGCTGATGTTTATAATGACTTGCATTTAAGATATTATAATAATGTTACATACACACCGCATTTGATTGTGTAAATTTTATGTTGACATTTAAGTAATTTCATGTAATATTTAAAAATTTTTGTAATTAAAATTGAAGTAAGGAGATATAAAATAATATTTTTATCACGCCAGGAGGTGGCAACTTGCAAACCGCCCCTTATCAATTGTGATAACATAACCTACCACCTTCGGACATTGCACGAAAACAACAGCTCCAAAACCCTTTCGTTCCCGTTTTCTCTCGCAACCTCCTCTTTTTCTCCTTTTTACAGCTATGTTGGAAAATGTACAGTTGTTCATAGCACTGTTCGGAGGCTATGTCGCAACTTCGATGATATTTCTAAAAAATCCCCACTTCCTTCACAAAAAGAAAAGATTGAAATTCACATGTACACATATAAGTCATAGAGGAGGTAAACATAAACTATTATCTTTATGTAGATCATTGACATAGTGTGCTAATGTATTTACATTAATATGTAGGTGCTGGAGAAAACTATGAAAACACAATGACTGCATTCAGGAGGTAATATCATCCATCAAAGTTCAAAAATGCTTTAAGCTGATTAATCTTAAATGCTTCAACTTGCCTTAGAACCATTTACATCCTGCACTAAACAAAAAATAGATTTAAATTTTAAATATACCATCAAAGTGGTTTGTTTCGCACCTCTTTTTAGTTTTTATGTGATAATATTAGTTTTTTATAAACTTAAAGTTATCAGAAAAGTCTGAAATAAATAACTAAACTTTCTTAAAATATAAGAAATGAAAAAAACTCTTTGTTTACATAGTGTTGATATATAAGTGTTTTATTTTTAGTTAACTCTTTATAGGAAAGAAGATTTGCTCAAATTCAAATACAATTTTTAATGAAACTGACTCAGAAACTCCCGTTGAGAAATAAAATGTATGATAGCAGATGTGCGGTGAGACTTGTATCATTGCTTACTCTGCAACAAAAAAATTTACAAGGTTGAAAAATTGTCAGAAAATGTAGCCGTTAATGGTATTTATTAACTTTGTCTATTTTTTGACCCAAGTATTTCGATCCTATTATTTTTTTAATTAAAGAAAAACCTCACTTATTCCTAGCTCTGTGGTTGTTTTTATACATCTTATTTATTTAATTGTTTTATTTTGACTTATTATTTAGTTTATTTATTTTTAATTTTTATATACTTATTTTTTGTATTTATTTATAAAACAAAAACATTCTATTAGTGTATATTTGTTTATAATACCATCTCTCATGTGTATTTGCCATATTTTTTGAGAAGAAACAATAGAAGTCTTGTTTACATAAGTTTATATATTATATATTTCATATTTCTGTTGTAATTTTTTATTTTTTACTTTTTAGCCGTATTGATTCCCACATTCACATGATTTTGGGTCGAAACATAGGCAGATTTGATAAACACCAATAATAGCTGCATTTTCTGACAATTTTTCATACTTAAATTACTCATTAGATTAAAATTTTATTGTTGTAAACAAGGTTTAAAATTATATGTTGAAAATAATTGAAAAAAAAATTAATAATTTATAAAAATGAGTGAAAATTCTCAAAAAAAAAAAATTCAACAGAGATAAAATGTTGGTGAAAAATTAGAAAATGAACATAATACTAATTACTTATGTAAATATTAATTTTTTAAGTTTCATGCAACTGCAACAAAATTTAAATTTCTAATAAAAGGTTAAAGTGGTTTGATCCAATTGTGACTTTAATATTTTTTTAAAGTTAGGTGAAGACATAAATTGTTTATTAAAAAAGTTTTGTTTAAATATTTTTTGAGATATAAATAAATATAATTCTAGAAAAAAAAATGAGAAATTTTCATTCAATATAAATCCTGACCAAAATAATTCCAAATTAAGAACTTTAAAAATTCATTTAAAATCTTTATAGATTATTTCTCAAAGGTTTTTTTTTTTTTTTTGTCAATACCCCATATTTAATCAGAATTCAATTGACAGAGCCTTCATTTTGAAAATCTTCAGGTGGGAAAAGTAGTAACACTTCCCGAAATTTCAGGAAAAACGTTATAATGGAAAAGAAACTTTATCTGCAAATAACTTATAAAGAATAATTTATTTTTTATTGTATTCATCATTATTTGGAATATTACTAAATTCCCTACAAAAAAAAAAAATCATTGAAATACGACTAATATAAGCTGAAATACAGCTTATTGTAATGACTAAACATTTTGGTTTAAAACATGAATGAAGTTTTATAATAATTTTCTTTTGCTTAATCGTTTACAATTACCAAAAAAAAAAAAATAGGAAATGATTCCTTCATCTTATGATACATTGTATTATTTAAATATCTTTATTATTTGGCCATTTGTTCATTGTCCAATATTCTTTCTTGTGAATTATTTGCCTGAGCTAATTAGTTACTATTATGGCATCTGTTTATTGTAAAATGTCAATAAGTACATTTTTATTTAGTTTGTCCCTATTTACAGATACACAAAGAGAGAAAATTCATCAAATTGATTCAAATTCTATTATGTATTAAAAATAAGTACATTATGTTGACAATGTTCTGATTTTACGGAGGGAAAATTAATTAAAGTACTTAGTAATAAACCCATGGTACATATAATGTTGCAAAGATTTTTAAATAAACAAATTAGAGCAAAGCATACTCAACTTCTGAGTTATCCTCAGTCACATCTTTTAAAAGTTTAACTAATAAAGAGATTAATACTGATAACTGATATTTGTTTCTTAATCATATATAAAATTTTATCAACTTAGAGATCACTGCTTATACTACTAAGCAACCCAATAATAATAGTTTATGGTACGCTGTTTAACAGAGAATAACAGGAAGAGAAAAAAAAATATGTTATATGAATATATGCTATATGATTATTCTTTTTATCAAATCTTGCATCCCCCAATAGGAAGATATTGTCGGTTGGCTGCTAGTAGTATAAACAGTGATCTCTTGCAAAAAGTAATATTTCATAAATTTAAATTACTATGTACTTTCATAAATTTTGTCTCTGCGAAATCAGAACATTATGGACTTAATGTAACTAGATACGATATCTAAAAGGTTTTATGCCATTTTGATGCATCCATCATTTGACTTTATCACAATAATCCGACGATTTATTTCTTAATTGCAAATAAAATTTTTTCAAGAGTGTTTGTTTTTTAGATACTTTTTAACAAAGAATAACACAAAGTTTTAACCAGAATACCCTGTTTAATTTTTCTTTTCATTGAATTTTGCTTCCATCTTTTATTTGTTTATTTTTCCTGCTTTTTTTTTTTCTGCATTACAAACCTTGTAGGTCTTTTGCCGCCTTTACAAGCCTGCTCAATCTCTACCGAGTTAAAATTCCCACCGGGTACCGGGATCACAGCCATATAAAGAACTGGGTTTATCATAGCATTTTAGACCCTTAATTTGAGATTTTTAGGGATTTAAAACCTTTGAAAGGGAGAAGAAAGCTCTATTTGTGCTAGTTATACCCTGGTCTATTTCTGACAGTTTGTCATTCATTGAGGCTATTGTGGAGCCGAGATATTTGAATTTTTCTACTCTTGGGAATGATTCTATGCAGATCCTGTTATTCGGGTGGAATTTTCAGCTTATATATATTTCGAAGAGAAAGGGTTGATCAGTCAAAATAAAATAGTAAAAATAAATAATTGTATTTATTTATTTTAAAAAAATATATACAAATATTTATTTATACTATTTTATTTTGATTGATCACCCCAACCATCCTTCTCTTCAATTAACCTCCTAATTCTTCAACCCACATTATAAAAATATTGTATATTCTGTTTTTTCTTCATTTACTTCTTGTAGGCTGATTCGCTCCGCATCTCTTATCAGAGTCTCAGCGAGTTTCTCAATGTCCTCTTGATTACTTCCAAAGACAGCTTTATCCGTATCCAAGGATTTTATGATTTATCCGACGTGGATCTCTCCATTTTCGCATGATGTAGTTCTTATGACATTCTCTAGGGCTTAATTGAACAACATTAGTGATAGTCCATCTCCCTACTCTAAGCCCATTCAAACTTTGAAGGCTTCAGATACTTTATCTTGTATTAGGACTTGACATTTAAAGCATTTGTACATTTACTCCCATCTATTGGAAGATATTCTCCTCATTTCTGAATATGCGTTTTGCACCTTATACTATCCCTAGTGGTCCACATACAGCTACACAAAACATTTGATATCATTGAAGCAATAACATAAAATGTTAAGGAACAAAGAAATCCACTTTGATGGTACTTATAGTCTTTCAACCCTTATCCAAAGATTTTATAATTATATTACTGATTTCAGAGCAGTTAGTTTAGGTACAGACATGCTTGAACTCGACTGCCAATTGACAAAAGATAATCAGGTTGTCGTATGCCATGATAACAATTTGCTCAGAAGCACAGGAGTCAACAAATGTGTATCAGAATTCAATTACAAAGACTTACCTTTGTTGAAACCGAATCTTCCAGTCGACTTTGATCCGTGTATGTTTAAATGTATTCATTAACTTTTCTTATCATTATTATTATTATTTGTAGCTAATATTTACTGTTCTCGTAGTAGTGACATTTAGAGGTACTGGTAAAGAAGAAGAGAGGCGCATACCATTGCTTGTTGAAGTGTTTCAAACTTTTCCTCAATTGCCGATCAACATAGACATAAAAACTAACAATAACTTTTTAATCGGAGAAGTCAACAGATTAATTTCTGAACATCATAGAGAAGAAATAACAGTGTGGGGCAGTTTTAGTGAAGGGATAACATACAAGTGCTATTTACAAGTATATTTAAAAGTATCATAGCAAATGAATAATAAATAAAATTCTTATTTAGGAGTTTTAAGTATTTTCAATTTTATTCCAGAATCCAAAAGTCAATTTGCTTTTTTCTCTACGAAGAGTTTTTGAGTTGGTATTGCTTTTTTATACTGGCCTACTCCCTTTTGTACCACTGAGGGAAACACATCTAGAAATATTTCAGCCATCTATGGTTCTCCACCCATCTTGGTAACTGGATTAATTATTTTTGTGGTTGCTAAAAATATTTTTATTGATTTACAAAAATAAAACTTTCTTCATTTCTATAATTAATGCATTAGTATAACATTTAATATTTTATGTTTTGTTTTTTTACATTTTTAGGCATAATCATAATATTAAGAATGGCCCTCTTCTTTTGTACCTGCCAACTTTTCTTGTGAGAACTATCGACTTCCTTTTGATGAGTAAAACTCTTTTTAAACATTTAGGACAACGAGGAATACAGGTAAAAACATCAAGTTTTATCAGTTGTTCTGAAATGCTAGTCAGCCACAGACCCTAAGTGAACATTTACTGCTATTATGTAAAGAAAATTCAAATAAGAGTAAAATGCATATGTGGGAGATACCTGCAGCCTCTAGGCCGCATATGGTATCCGTGACGTAGTTGTGTCCTCCAAACATTTTTTACGATGTTTATTAATCTAGTGCTAAAATTACTTAATATTTAATTATTTAAGAAATAAAAATTTAGAAATTATGTAATTAAGTTGAATATAGAAGAGAATAGAATAAAAAAATGACTTTATTTTAGGACAAGGTCCCTTAAGAATAATAAAATGTTACTGAACAAAAGAGTGCTTCTGGCCAAGAGAACTAAATTAAATAAGAAGAGCTGTATTAAATAAATAAAATACCTTATGTAAACTTACAAAATAAACTTATTAAACTATATACAATATGAATAAGAAATGAAACAAAGTAATTACTGTTTAGCTAAAAAACAAATAACGAAACAATAAAAAGTAAAACATAGGAACAAATCAATAAATAAAAAATAAATTCCTCTAGTAGATGAGCACCAATTAAAAATAACTAATGTAGGGTAAAATATAATATCTTGATAATATCTTAGTAAAAATTAACTTTTACAAGGATAGTAAGAAAATAAATAAATTAAGCAACTATCAGAGCACAATAATCTTGCAGAACAAAAACGACATGGTTTGAAAAATATATATACAAGTTAATAAGTACACGCACGTTACGTATAAGTACACAAGTTCATGATAAGAAAAGAAAAAACAAAACAAAAAAAATATATATATTGTAACATCCCTCTTATATTTTACAAATAATAATAATATAACCTCGGAAGCTCACTTCTTACCATTGGGATACTTTATAAATAAATGAGAGGTTGTTTAATAATAAACAACATTAAAAGAGTATTAATATATTTATTTATCTCAGGTATGGGTTACTGACAATCAGATCAACTCAGACAAACTAAAATTAACTATACTAAACACTGTTTGATTTTAAAATAAAGTCAAATATGGATTGGCAAGCTAACCCTTTTTCTATATACACTGTTTCTTCCTTTTTTGCAATAAATTCATTTGTCTTCTAACATTTTCCTATGTTCTGCCAAACACAACTTCCAGAATGGTGACTCTTTCTTCTATTCAACTTTAGCTCCCTGAGAGATACTCTCTCTTGTACTTCCAAACAACTAGTCTCTCTGCCGAACAACAACTTCCAACATGGTAATACTATTACTGGGTTTTTCCCACTGGAGCCAGGATCACTTCTCCTATCCTCTCTTCACTGTAGTCACACAACAACTCTTTGCCAAAACAAATACCTTTGTCCCTCTCATCTTTGGGATTTTCCTTCTTGGGAAATTACAGAAAAGCCATTTTCTTTTGCCTGCACTAGTAGAACTAGATTAGCTTGTTTTTTAATTGTTACATTAATTTATTAAATCATTATTACCCGCTTCCAATAAAAGTGTACATTACAATATACATAAAACATCGATTTTTAAACCAAAGCATTGAAATTTAACACGTGATTAGCGATTTTCTGACTGATTTTTAAATAGGAATTGGAATAGGACAGTTTTAAAGATGGATAAGGGGGCAGCATGCCAGATTTCTAAAGGAAAGAATTCCAGAGATTAGCGGAGTGAGAAATGAAAGAGTTTTGGATAGAGGCAGATCTGTAAAATGGGGTATAAAGGTCAGAGGGTTTGGATCTTTACTCCCATTTAAGCTCATTTTGAAACTTATGTGTCATTTATAGGACAAGTTTTTTTTTGTTTTTGTTTTTATCACAAGATATAGCCTACAAGACTTAGTGAAGACCTCGCTGTGGCCCACGGGACTTAGTTGGTTTCTCTATGTGGTCTGTATTTCAATTTATTAGTTAAATAAGATTATTGTTTATTACACATCTTAATCTTATATACATTCTATTACACATAAAATCTATTGCGGCTCAAATTTTTACAACTGGTTTTACATGCAAGCACCCCATTAAAAATAATCAAATTATTTAATTATTGATATATTTATATGTGCATTTTAATTTTATTTTTTTCAGACATATGTCTGGGTTTTAAATTATGACAATCAGTTCAAAGAAGTATTTGAACTGGGTGTAACAGGAATAATGACAGATTATCCCACACGCCTTATGAATTTTCTCAAGGAGAATCCGCAATACATTAAAAAAACGCACAGTGTCTCTGCAATAACCGAAGCCGAAGGAGGCGTGAACAATTAGCTAAAAGCTTCGTTCGAGCCTTTCGACAAATATTCTGGTTTGTGATAAATTGAAATCTACTTTTACCAAATGTCCAAAATGGTTGTAGAGCTGTAGTAAGTGAAATTTATCGAATTGTTAAAGTTTTTTTCTTTTTATTATCATTGTTTTGTTGAAAATTGTTCAAAGTTCTACTAGGATGTGTAAAGTGTTGATCTTTGTCCAAATTTTAATGTGTTCTAGAGGCTTAGATAATATGGAACTTTTGCCTACTTAAAAAGGTTCATTAAATACCAGAAAAATAAATGAGTCTGCCTAGTCAGTTCCAACAAATGTATAAACAATTTTATTTAAGATTTAATTATGAAAAAATATCTTGAGATTTTTTAGTATTATTTTTATGTTATGTGTGTTAAAATACAATCTTGTGTCATCGTTAAATATATCTTTTTATTTAGGTTAATTTATGATATTAAATTTAGTTCTTTTTATGAAAATACATTTATGGAATTTCCGTTTAAGTATTAACGCTTTTATATATTAATTTTTAAGTTTATTATTATTTAGACATTTTCTCTGAATAATTTTTTATATCCTCACTAGTCCCATTTTAATATTTATATATATTTAAATCGCTTTTAGCACTCATAATTTTGTGCTTTTAAGCATCGTTGATTTAATAATCTATCAATAATGATCATAGTTATACACTAGTCATGAGTTACCTTAATTTTGATTTATTAAAAATTATTACGTTAGTCTGTTTTTTAAATTAGTTTATTTTTTATTAATGAATGGTTACCTAATATCATCAGAGACTCAATTTTTATGCAGTTAAATATTAGGATTAAAAAGCCTTAACTGTAAAATACAATAATTATATGTACTTTACATTCAAATAATTTTACCACTTCAAATTATTAGAGATACAACAATATTACAACACATGTTATATAGATGGCCATCTATCTGTAAAACGATTCATTTACAATAGTGACAAAAAAACTGTTAAATTGTATTGCTCATCAGATATTAGATGTCATGACATTCTATTTTTCAACCATATCGGTTTCACCTACTAATAAAAGGTTTCTGAATCAATGATATTGATTATCTCAAAACATGAAATCTGTATAGACATATTGAAATTCAATTTATTAAATTTCAACACCTTGTAAATTATAAGTGTGGTCTTGGTTTTATGTGAAACATTTTTCAACACAGAAGAGTGTCGAGCAACATAATTGTATGTGCTTAAAAAAAAATTGTTGTCTGAAAGATATTTAGACAATTTATTAAATAAAAATAAAATAAATTGGGAAATTAAAATATGAAATTGCATAAAAACCTGTTGTTTTCTGGTTATAATGAGTAATTATATTAACTAAATTAATTATATTGAATAGTTAATAGTTGACCGTTATGTATTTTAGAGGAAGAAGATGGTCCGGTATGGCGGTCATAAATAGACTAAAATAGTGGAAAACCTATTTTATTTCAAGCCAACGTGTGAGGTGTGTTCAGCAAGGAGTTTCACTTAAAACTAAGGAGTCATAAGTTATAAGTTTCACTTAAAACTAAAGAGTGTTAAGTGAAGCTCCTTGCTGAACACACCTCTCAGAAGAAGACCTGCAAAGTCGGGTCGAAACGTTGGCTTGAAATAAAATAGTTCTTCCAATATTTTAGTCTATTTATGACCGCCGCCCCAGACCATCTCCTTTCTCTAAATTAATTATACTTATAGTCATATAGTCATAAACAAAATGTGATAACATTTCTAGGTTTCTATCGATTTTTTTTTTTTCAATTAAAGTGAAAAAAATATTATTTAATCTTCATATTAATCAATTATATATCATAATATAAGTTAAAATATTATATAAGTAATCTGAATAAGTCTTCACCATCAATTAGTCTACTCATTTTTATTATAAGTTATGGCATTACAATATTTTTAAATTTATTTTTAAAAGGAATATATAAATTCACTAGTTTCTTTGAGATAGTTAATTTGTTTTCATTTCATTTATAATAATTTTAATATTAATTAAATTGTTTATATTTTTGTAATCAATTTTTTTAATGATAGATATTTAGTAAATATTTTATATTCATTCAGTTATATTCCAGGTGTTTTGTTTGAATAAGAAAGAGCATATTGTTTTTGTTTTTTTATATTTACGTAATCAAACCTTGTGAATTTCAGGTCTAATTTTCAATTTTTTATTAATTAATTAATTCTTTATAAGTTTGCTTTTTGCAAACTTGTAGAATGAAATATTTTTCTTTCTTCAGTCAATTTCCTGCTGGTTTGTTTAATCGTAACTCTCACAAGAGCCTTTAATTAATTTATTTGTTTTATTAATTAATTCATTCTATCTCTATTGCTAATTTTAGGTTTTTGGAGTTATTTTATTCGTTTAGTAAAACCTCCTAGCATTTTTATGTTGAATATTTTTTTCAAAAATTTGTTTTTTAATGCTGGATTCGCAGAATTTCAACTTTCTTTTCCATATTGTTGTTCCCAGGTTTTCCATTTTCCCATAAATTTCCTGATTTGGTCTTAAACCTTGTCGATTCTTCTCAATATTCTTAGAAGTTTTTCTATATTGGGAGGTTGGCTCTTTCTATACCATACAAGATTATTTGTTTGACTGCGGAGTTATAATGCTTTATTTTAATGTTGATAGACAGAGTTTTTTCATTATTTCGGAATGAATTTTTTTATTTATTCGAAATGCAACTTCTGTAGATTATACTATGCTAAGGAAACTTTCCAACATGACAATAATTCAATTATTTTAAAGGTGTAGTATTTAGTTTTGAATGCATAGTTATGTCTTCTTAATTTATCTTTTGTGTTACAAAAAATAGTCTTAAATGTAACCATATTCTTCCATAAATATTTTGTTACAATTTTTTTTAAATTGCTAAAGTTTAAATTAGTTTGTTTTCCGAGTCATTGCCTAAGTTGTGTATATTAATGTTTATGTATCTATTAAAACTATATTATTATTATGAAGACTGGTAAATTCAACTGGTAAAATTAGACAAGTTTAATAATATTTATAATTTTAGCTTTGTCTTTTAAACACAGCACAAATCTGTAGGACTATGTTTGTTATAAGTTGTATAAACACATATTCACTGTAAGTTAGCTAAAATTTAATATTAATTCTTTCATTATAAGTGAGTGCTTGGAAATGTTATCAGTGAAAATTAATAACCAACCAAAACTATTGTTATTTTGTGGTCATTCAATAAAATTAAAACATTTTAAATATTTTTTAATTGTTCAGAAGTATATTTGAATAAGCTGAGATATATTTTTTTGCCACTAGATTTCTATAAATATCTAAGTAAAATCAAAACAAATTAATTTTGACATAGCTCAAATGTTGACGTATTATTCAAAATCGTTCTGACACATTTGTTATATGATTATTATTAAAATTATTCTCATTTTTAAGTTGAGTTAATTATATTAGGTATTCTCACAGTTTTAAATGGTCTATTATAAAATAACTCCTAGAATTGTTTTAAAAATACAACTTTCTAGATATTTAAAATTATTTTTTATTATAAAAGATGTTAAGTTTTCTTTGTTTTTAAAAATTAAATCTTTGTTGCTTTTAATCGTTGAATGATTAGTTATGTCTTGTCATATTTATTACCATAATTACTTTTCTATTTGTTGTTTTACTCATACTTTTTCTATGTATGAATTATCAAGTAATAAAGGGAAAATATATATTTTAAGGAGAAATTAAAAAATAACCTTCTCCTATGAAGATAGGGCCATTTTAATATTTTATAATATAATATATTGGCTGGCTATAGTTATTTCTTTATTTTAATTTTTAAAATTAACTATTTATAAAATATCACTCTTATGCAAGTGACTAATTTATTAATTACCAAGTGAAAGAAAATGAATAAAATATAGATTAAGAGAGAGATAAAATTAGTTTAATTTATTTAATAATGAAATTATTTTGTTTATTCGTACTTGAAATATATTTTTTTTTTAAATAATGATTTATTAATGACATTTTTAATGATTGCAGTAATAATAATGTTTATGATAAAATAAATCGTACAGTGAGAATACAAAGGATTATTTTTTGTTATTTTAAGTACTAACATTACATACGAGTTAATTTAAACATAAAAGCATCCAGAGTGTTACATGATGATGTACCTGTGATACATGATGTTGGTAGATTGCCTAATGGATTTATTTGAAATGAAAGTGCTTTAACCATTAAAATTTCTGACATTAGAAATTTTGAGTTGTATCCTCGTAATGCAATATGATATCATCATATTGCTATGTTACATTTAAATTTGTCCTAATGTGATTTCTTAGATTAAAGACTGAGTTAATCATTCCTGTTGAAATTTGTTGTGAATAAATAAAAAAATTGATTAATTATTAAATAATTATCGAGTTGGCTAGTAGGCTGTGACACTAATAATTGTTTGTCATTTATTTTTTATTGTTTTTTCAATTAAAGAAATTGAAAGTTTCAGAATATATATAAATATGTTTGTTTAAATTTAGAAAAATATCTATGTATTGATAATTGATGTCAATTACAAATTACTATAAAAAATAACAACATATAATTTTAAACATTACTGAAATTCATATTGTTGAATAGGAAAGGGAATTTCAATGTTTTGATTATTGATTTATTTTTAATTTTATATATTTATTTCAGATTGCCTAATGCATTATTGTACAATTATTTTCTTAAAGTATTGTAATTTACAATTTATTAGTTCTTAAGATTGTTGAGGATGCGTAGGTAGTTGTGAAGTATTGTGAGCATCTAAAATATGCGTGAATAACATTTAAAAAGCAGTTTAACTAATAAAATTTTTTAAATAAATTTACAGTATAAATTATGTACTACACAAAGTTCAATAATTGCTTAACTTTTATGCAATGTTTCATATTTTAGTAACAATTTCTTGCAGAAACCACCGGATCACGAAGGAAATTACTGTAATTCTTATCATTCACGTTGTTCACAATCTAGCACCTAGTGTTTTCTAAAACTAAGCTTTATCTTTTGAATGTTAATAAAGATAATGTAGTTATATGTGTTGTTTTTTTTAATCTCCTTTTTACACTAAATCCTAATTAAACTGGTTTAAAGGTGATATAAAATTATACGACATGACATGGTATGTGTCGAACAAATGTTTTTTTAATAGAAACAATGTAGATATAGCATATCACACTGTTTTTCAAGCGTTTCTAAAAAATAAAAGTTTTAAACACCAGTATTGATGGAAATCTTATCTTAGACCATGTTGCAGTTATTTTCAATTGTGATGTTTTATTTGTATCGAGTACATTTTATTATCCTGGATCAACAGAACAAATCAAATAATTACTTTCTTAAAGTATTATTATATGAAAAATAT